TGTATATATATGTATGTATGTATATATATATATGTATATGTGTATATATATATGTGTATATGTATATATATATAGTCACAATGTTCTTAATGTATAGAAAACAATGGACTGCAGTATCCTCAATGCACTTCTTCCTATCTTCCCAGATCTGTGTTGGGAGTTGTAGTCCTCTTACTGTAAGTGTGGTGGGGTTGACGTGCAGACACGTGGACTGAGCAGCTCCGTGTGTGTGTGCATGCGTGTGTGTCTTCACGTCCGGTTTATGTCAAACTGCGCTGTTATTTCTATTGTTGGTGTTCTGATAATGTTTAGAACGGAGCTTTAAGTTTTGAGTGTGTGTGTGCGTGTGTGCTGTTATGTGTCTTAAAGGAATCCTTCAACATTATTGGGAAATCAGCTTTGTTTTGTAGAGAGTTGGCAATCGCAAAATATGAAGCTGGAAGCAAGCAACTCCTGAAAAGCATGTGGTTGTCCCATCGCTCACTGGATGATACAGGCGAGACCCACCGCACAGAGCCGACTGCTCGCCCCTGCTTCCTGTCTACAGTCACGCATTTCCTGAAATGTAGAACTCCTCCTTTTTACTCTGCATGATTGTAAATGCACAGGCCAGAAAGAGAGGCGCGCTGCAGATGTGACCCCCCTCGTCATGAGTTGCTGTAATCAGAAGATGCTGTTCTTCCGGAGGTGGAGGAACGATGGGAGATGGAGAGCTCAACGCAGTCACACGCCCACTATTGACACTTTCTAGGAGGCGGGACACTTTCCCTGGAGGATCAACGCCTACCACGCCTACCCCCCCCCCCCCACCCCACCCCGGGGGTCACTTCAGAGTTCCTGTCCTGGAATGTGCCTCGGATTCATCAGGGTTCCAAGGTGCCTTAACCTGTGTCCCTTAATCTCTGCTCCTTTATTCAACCTTTTTACAAGAATCTTCATTCCAGCATCGGGGGTGTTCTCATGGCCCCGTGGGGTGCACTCGTTGAACAGAGAGGCCGAGCGTTTGGACACGGCATTCAACCAACTCCAGGCTTTCTGGGTAAGGACCGCAGGACGTTGAGGCATGAAGTACCCCCCCCCCCCCTCTGTTTCTTTTGGTCTTGCGTGGTCCTCAAAAAGAACCTCGGTCTAAACACTCAAACCCCCGGGTGGTGCCGAGCTCGTCTCAGCGCTGTGGCCAAGCCACAGAAGTCGAGTCGAGAACACTACGGACTTCTTCATCCTGATGACACAAATCCTTCTGGCTGTGCATGTGCAGATGAATGATGATGCGGGTGTAAACCTCCGTGGCTCAGCCTGCCTCTCTGCTACCGAGGAGGCTTCTACAGCCCACTGTGATATTTCAAACAGGCCCGGGTCAATCCTCTGACACGTGGGATTGAGTCTGTTAGAATACTTTACGCTGGAGAGTCTCTTGCTGGTTGACCCGTGTCTGTCTGCGTCCCTTAGATACCTAACAATGATTATAGACTTCTTGAAAGGCAATCCGTGGTCACTTCTATAGATATATCAACGGAAAGTATATACTAAAATGGGTTTCAATATTGAAAACAAATCTAACTTATAACCTTTCATTTTTATATACAGATGTAGATATCATTTTCTTTTTGTTTTTTTTCTTTAAAATAGATTTATGGTTTTATTTTTTGAGCTTTGTAATTTAACGTTTGTTTTGTCTCCTTTTGTATTCAGGAGAGAGGAGACGTGTTCACGCTTCAGTCTAACATTTACACGTTCACTGTACACTATAGGTCGTTAGCATAAGGCCTAACTGTCGTCACTCACACCCTGTATGCCTGCCGCATGGTCTTTAGCTAGCTTGAGCGACACCTTTAGGTCGTGTGAGCGCTCATTCATAGGATATTTGGTACGGAAAATGTGAATTTGAATACCTGTGCGTTTGTTTCCCACAGCAATATCACTGGATCCAAACTCCATATCTAAGACTTGTTGTGACCAACCTTTATGTTTTTAATAGCCAAATGAGGATTATGCTGATGCACTCGAGTGTGTCTGTGGCCGGCCATGTCTTTTAACTTGTTTAGTTTCTTTCAATGATTAAAGACAATTCAATGACAACTAGTCGGCGTGTGTCTGTCTCTTTGGGGTGTTTCAGTGTGAGGTAATGTTTCACCCTTCAACATGTAGCACAGTGCTTCCTCTCTGTTCCATCAATATGTTTATGAAGAATGTACTTCCACGTAGCGCTGTCACGATGTTTTCACAACACTTCTATCATGGCCAAAATAATCAATTAATCAATTAATGTGAGCCAGTGATTGAAATTTAAAAGCAGAAGTCTTCTCTACACAGGACTCACCTCTTGATGTTGATGTGAAGCTGCAGAGCATCCAGACCACAATGTGTTAGAGACATAACTTCACACTTTATAGCTCACTTTACCAGCAGCTGTTGGTCATTAAAGGGTTGAGTTCAAGTTCATGGAGGTCCATAGTCACCTCCAGGTTTCACTCTTCTTCTCCCCTGCTATAGTTGGTTCTGCTACACCTTCAAGTGATGGAGGACAGCTTCTCCGATCAGGAGTCGTGTCCGACTGATACGCATGTCATTAATACAAGAGAGACCCACGAGCATTTATTCATTCCTTTAGAACGGGAGACTTATTAGAACGTAACAAATAAGCGAAGGTATCTGCTGGCAAAGTGAATTTAAAAAATATAGAACATCTCAAAAATTTCCAATATGGATGTATCGGTTTTGTGCTCATTCTTCTGAACATAGAGACGATCTGATGACTGCAGAGCATCATGGACTTCACTCATCAACTTACACAGTAATGGAGCACGATGTACTACTCTATGATGTACTACTCTGATAGATTAGTATGTCACAGAGTATCATACTTTGTGACATACTACTCTATACTTTTTTATATATACACACATATAAAAAAGTATATACAGTATGTGTATTGTGTATATATAATCTGATAAAAAGATCAAACTAAAAGTTACAGATCCAGAGGCTCATGTTCTCATGCTCTATGACGGAGATGAATATGCTCTGACAGCATGAGATGTTTAGGAACCTGTTAAATCTCCATGAAGCAGTTTGTAGAGGATCTATTCTACAGAGTTGTCTGGAGGACTTGTTTCTCAGTGTGGGAGGAAATGTTCAACACAAATTAAGTTTTTTCTTTTATTATTCAAAAAATACTGACCAAAGTTTTGAGCCAACAACGTTTTATTGAGCATATTTGTTCATGTTATTTTTGTATTGAAAACAGCGATCTGCTGTTCACCAGCCTCACACAGCACGTCACATGAAAACACCGCCCTCCACTGGTGACAGAGCGGCATGACATGTCAGACAGACAGGAAACTACATAGAACCACAAATAATACATAACATTCACAATCTGACGGACAACAGAACAACAACATTCAAATGTGTTTACGTGGTGCTACATATACCATACGACACCACAACCACAAGCCCTATGATGAAGCCCATGGAAATGGTAGAACGCCAGACTGACCTATAGAAATATGTATTACACTGTTTTAGATTTGGTGATGGATTTACTCCATTCATTTCCTTTGGTGTGAAGCTTTGAACCTGTCTAATGTTTGGATCAGTTCTGCTCAAAGCTGAATCCTGTTGTGATAATGATCTGGACCTCAGTACCAGCACACCGTCAGAGGGTTACGATCAGGTGCTGCGACTCTGATGTTGAACTGTGCTGACAGTGGTGTGGACATGAGACCAGCGCTCAGAGTGTGAATGTGCGTCATGTTGTCTGCATCGTAGAAGGAGAGCTTCTTGGAGGAGCAGTTAAGGTAAATGCCAATCTTCCGAGGTCTGGCTCCAAGTGCTAGCTCTGTGGTTGTTTTGGGACTACAGGTGGAATATTTCTGGCCGTCGTAGTTCAGGAAATAATCTTTTATCCCTAGTGCCCAATAGTCTCTGAGTCCAACCTCTGTCTCCCAGTAATGTTGCCCTGAAGTAAACTCATTGACACTGAATACATGGCTTATGATTGAGGAGGCTGCGGTTTGGCCCGATCCTGCAGTGGAACCAAAGTTAAACTCTGATCCTGCGGTGGGATCAAAGTTTAAGCCCGTGTTTTGGCCCGATCCTGCGGTGGGACCAAATTTAAACTCCGATCCTGCGGTGGGACCAAAGTTTAAGCCCGTGTTTTGGCCCGATCCTGCGGTGGGACCAAATTTAAACTCCGATCCTGCGGTGGGACCAAAGTTTAAGCCCGTGTTTTGGCCCGATCCTGCAGTGGGACCAAATTTAAACTCCGATCCTGCGGTGGGACCAAAGTTAAACTCTGATCCTGCGGTGGAACCAAAGTTTAAGCCCGTGTTTTGGCCGGATCTTACGTTGGTGCCAAAAATGGAGGAGTGACCTGATGGAGCTTGTTCGCGCTTGGGAGTGCAAAACAAACTCCGGCCATCATCAGAAACGGTTATAGCTGCGCGGTTGGTCGTGAGTGAGAGCAGCTCTGCTCGGGGCTGGATCACCTGCAGCATCTCCTTCCACACAAAGAACTGCAGGTGGCTTTCATAGGGCCCCAAAGAGATCGAGGTGTTCACCACTTGGAGATCGTTGGCCCTGGGCCTGAATAAGCGCTCCGGGGCCGCCCTGCTGTTACCCTCAGTCCAGCTCCTCAAGAGTCCCTCAGAGTCTTCGATCTGCAGAACCGATGTCAGCTCTCCCTCCAACTCCCTGCTCTGGGACAAAGCGGTCTCCATAGCATCCAAGCTCCCCCTCATTCTCTCGACAGCGTCTTCCTCTTTGCATCGCAGCTCATTCTTCACCTCATCTTCTCTCTTCCTCAGAAACTGGTGCATCTCCTCAAACTGCCTGCGGATTTGTGTCGCCAGCTGCTGAGACTTCTCCGTGGTTTTCGTCATTTCCGCCCTCTGTGTGTGGGCGAGGCTCTCTGTAGCGACGATGTCGCTGCGAAGGCCCTCCATGCCCCCCTCCAGCTCCCGTCTCAGGGATGCGGCTGCTTCCTTGATGGGTTTGAACTTGTGCCCGTCGTGCCTCTCAGCGTCTCGGCATATGATACAAGCCAGCTGCTGATCTGTGACGCAGAACAGTTTGAGCTTTTCTTCATGCTCAGGGCACAGCTTAGCCGCCTGTGAAAAAAAAAAAATAAATAAATCTATTACAACCACAGACTATATAGGAAGTGGACAGAGTCATAGTGACGTCACACATTGGTTTGTGGACTGCTGTTCTGAAGCCTTGAGTTTGGCAATTTCGCAGTCGCCTTCTTGAATTACGGCTGTCGCCATGTTGGTTTTTTTGCATCCAAAAATGGTAAATTCCATTTGGAAGTTACCATTTTTGGAATGCAGAGGAGTGACGTAGAGACGCCGTATACAGCTCTGGTAATTGCAGTGACCTGTCAATCACAGTAAGCCCGCCCTAAAGCATACTCTGCTTTATGGTCTGTTTGACTCTAAATGGATCATAACTTACTAAATGAACATCATGCTGTATTGAAGAAGACTTGAAACTAGAGATTGAGACCATAAACTCATGTTTACAATGTTTACTGAGGGAATAAATCAAGAGAGAAGTAGAGTCATTTTCTCATAGACTTCTATACAATCAGACAGTGGCGGTTGGTGGAAAATGTTCTAGGTAGCACTGTGCCACATCCAATCAATTTCAATCAATCAATCATTACTACTACTAGTTAAATATTTAACATTTATTCCAACACAAAAAAAGCAGTAAATAACACTTTGACAAACACGTCAGGATATCTTTTGTCACCCTCACAGGCAATTCAGTATAATATAATAATATATATATCATATAATAATATTCAGTATAATATAAAACACACATATTATAATATATAATAGAACATGTGTATTTATTGAGATGCCCCTATGGACCTTGTTATAGGAGGTAAAGATCAGGAGAAGTAAACATGAAGTGTAATTATGAATACTGATGTTAAATTAAGCTATGATGAGTTTTCACTGTTAATTTACCATCTCAATTAAATGTTGATGCCTCCATGACCAAGTTAAGCAGATGAGACTGAGGACAACTATGTAGAAGAAAGGATGTTCACTTTGCCTAATATGTAGCTTGACAGAGTTCTCCATGTGTGCCCTGGTGTTCTCATGTTTCCTTACCTCCTCATCCCTCACTCCCTACCATGGTGTTCTCATGTTTCCTTACCTCCTCATCCCTCACTCCCTAACTGTCCGTGCTGGATCTGTCCCCGTTGTTTTAAAAAGCTAACTAAGTTATTAGCATGACGTCATCCAGCTAGCCAAACCTGTCTGGTGTACAGCTAGTAGAGAAGCTTCACATGTACTGCTTCCCTTTCCTGCTAGTCTGCTGTCTGATTGTGAGGTCAGGCTGATCTGGGATCAGCTCTTTCACCTGTAGTTTCTCCGCCAAAGTTCTCTCAAACGGGTCTTGGAGGAGTAGTGCTCGTGCTCGTCTGTAGAAACTAGTCTTGACGAGGACGCGCAGTTTAGGGTGATACAAAGTTTGCCCCATGCTGAATGTATTTGAGGACGCTGATTGGCTAAATTGTACGTCATACATTTATATCTTTAATCAGCAATTGTTTAAACCAGGGGTCTTCAACGTTTTTCAGGCCAAGGACCCCCAAACTGATAGAGAGATGGAGGAGGGACCCTCGACTATATATATTGTATAAAATTGTGTTTTATATTAAATAGGGCCTAGTGCCATGTATAAACATACCTCTTTATTGTGCATTCAATACTAAGCTATTCAAATAATACACAGGTTCATATATTCATGTTTTTATTTTAAACATGTGCAAGACACAGTGAGTAGGGACGCCGTGCCACTGCCATTCATAAACATACCTTGTGAGCTGATACCAATGCCAATATCAACATTATCTGTCAATTGCATGATAATCATGCATACAAGCTATTCAAATAGACGTTTTCATTTTAAACATAAATGTGGAAACCAAAATGAGTGATGGCCTATTAGTGCCACTGCCATGCATAAACATACCTGTTATCTTGCATACAATACTGAAATATTAAAATAATGGACAGATTCATGCTTAGAGAAAAAAAAAAAAAAAAATAAATAATATATATATACATACATATACATATACATACAGTGTATATATATATATTTATTTATTTATTTTTCTTTTTAATTGTCTAAACAACCAAAAATTACGCGGACCCCCTGCAGTACCCCCTGCAGTCCGCGGACCCCTATTGAAGACCTCTGGTCTAAACTGCTTCATAGACCCGCCCCCTGTGGGCCATTTCTCAACGGCCACAGAGCTGCTGAGACAGCAGACAGGCGGAGAGGAAAAGCATATATTTTTCGCAGATATATTTTATTATATAGACATACATACACATATTACTGGGTGCATTCCATATTTCAAAAACACAAATTCTGACAATTTGTATAATTCATTATTATTTATTATTTTCTGTGGCTCAAGAGGGGGGGGGGGGGGGGGGGGGCTTGAGCATTCACTTATTTATGAATACTTAATGAGTCTACTTCGGCCTAATCAAAAACGTTCGACAGATATTCAGGATATTAACCTACATGAAAAGTCCCGCAATGATCAACATGTGCATGGCTGATAACCTTTATGAATATCACTAACTTACCTCTGCTCCGTCTCTCCCGTTCTCTTTCTTCATCTTCTCAGCGAGCCTCTTCAGTGTAACGCTGGTTGGAAGACCACACAACGTCGGAACGGCTGTCTCACACTGTGGACACTGCGGACTCGGACCAGGAGTGTCCGCAGAGAAGAGTCACCGGATCCGCGAAGATGGTCCGACAAACGGGACAGGTCAAATCCTCGGAGTGGACGCAGCGGACGCCATGGCTCTTCATTCGCTCTGCCAGGCTGGCGGGCAGTAGAGTTGTTTTGTAACAGTCAGTTTCATTTCCTTCACTTTCACTTTCCTGTAAAAAAAAAAGAAAAAGAAAGCCGCACCCCTTGGATCACTTTCAGTGGTTCCGGGTTTCCACGGGCAGGTGATGGCGCAGAACAACACGTTAGAGCTCAGAATCACGGCTCACTTCTACAAACAGGGACAAACGAGTGTGTTTAATCACTACACCTGCATCATGGGGACCACTGACACTTTGTTAGAGGGGCGCATGTGAGTGGAACATCGCGCTCTAGCGGTCACATGCTGGGTGACATGTCTCTCTACACTGAGCTCACAACAGTCCTTCACGCTGTCCGCAACATTTCAATTGTTTTTCAAAATGTTGGCTTGAGGTTAGTCTTCAGAGTCTGTTGCTTTAGTTTCAGTGTTTCAGAAAAGTTTTAATTAGTTCAATGCAATTCAATTTATTGGAATTAAGATTACAAACTATATAATAATATTGTCTATATCAACATAGTATAGAATACATTTTTAATGTTCTAGGTTGAGTGCACACAATGAAGGAAAATTGAGTTAAGGTTGATAAAAGAGTGAATGACTTTCCTGTCAGTCTCCTGTAAAAGACTGAGCTGCTGCTGCTGCATCACACCTGCCTAAGTAGATTAGTCTGGACAATTGGACTGTGCCATTCTACTACAGCCAGAGGGGTCTTCTATCCCCTGCAATCACCTATGGACTGGCCAGCAGAGTATATATGATGCAGTTAGGAGATGAGGGAGGAGTGGGGTTTAATATCCAGAATATAACTTCTATATGAAGTTTTTTAAAATTAATTTATAAATAACATTATTATTGTGTTGAAATGATAACTGTCATGATGTTACACACTCTGGTAAACATTGGTTTGTTGTCTGCCAATAAACTGAAAGAAGAAGAAGAAGAGGAGGATGGAGTGTCTCTTGTTCAGAAGAGCACTCACTGTGTTGTTTTAAACTAAGTTCTGTTTAGTTAAGTTGTACTTAGACTTTGGAGCAAGTATGTTAAGTTTATATAGTTATTGTGATTTGTCCCTTTAGCTTGATTTTGTTACCATTCTTAATTATTGTAAATACTTTTGGTGAATAAAATCCAAATTTTTCCCACCTTTACCTGCTCTCCCAGGGTTATGCGTACCCTGGTCCTTCACATATGCTGTGACTTTTCACAACATACTTTTTTAAATGTCTTTAACATATGTACGTATGTATTTTTATGCTTTTTTCCCAACATGATATAAGATGAAATATGATTTAATACTTCAAATGACTATACTATGACTTTTTATGACATACGACAATATGACTTTTTTCCACGTACTATACTATGACCTTTTTGACTTTTTTTGGCATACTGTACTGCACTTCTCTTGACGTGCCTATACTATGATATTTTTGTGACTTTTTTCAAAATGCTATACGATGACTTATTTATGACTTTTTCGACTTACAATACTGACTTTTGACTTTTTTTCAACATTTTATGACATTCTCTACGACTGACTTTTTTCGATATTTTTCTACTTTTTTTACATTTTAATTACTTTATTTTAGAAATACTATATTATTACTTTTTCGACATACTATACTGTTACTTTTTGTTGACTTTAGACATACTATATTACAAATTGTTTGACTTGATACTATGATTTTCTATATACTGTATATAATCTTTTTTTCTTCAACAGTAGATATATCATGAGTTTTTTGGAATGACTTGCGACACACTACTATGACCTTTATATATACTATACTATGGTTTTTATATATACTACTATACTATGACCTTATATATAGTATACTATGGCTTTTATATATACTATACTATGACCTTTATATATACTATGGCTTTTATATATACTATACTATAGCTTTTATATATACTATACTATGGCTTTTATATATAGTATACTATGGCTTTTATACATACTATACTATGGCTTTTATATATACTATACTATGGCTTTTATATATAGTATACTATGGCTTTTATATATACTATACTATGGCTTTTATATATACTATACTATAGCTTTTATATATACTATACTATGGCTTTTATATATAGTATACTATGGCTTTTATACATACTATACTATGGCTTTTATATATACTATACTATGGCTTTTATATATAGTATACTATGGCTTTTATATATACTATACTATGGCTTTTATATATACTATACTATAGCTTTTATATATACTATACTATGGCTTTTATATATAGTATACTATGGCTTTTATATGTACTATACTATGGCTTTTATATATACTATACTATGACCTTTATATACACTATACTATGACCTTTATATATACTACACTATGACCTTTATATATACTATACTATGGCTTTTATATATACTATACTATGGCTTTTATATATACTATACTATGACCTTTATATATACTATGCTATGGCTTTTATATATACTATACTATGGCTTTTATATATACTATACTATGACCTTTATATATACTATGCTATGGCTTTTATATATACTATACTATGACCTTTATATATACTATACTATGACCTTTATATATACTATACTATGGCTTTTATATATACTATACTATGGCTTTTATATATACTATACTATGACCTTTATATATAATATACTATGGCTTTTATATATACTATACTATGACCTTTATATATACTATACTATGACCTTTATATATACTATACTATGGCTTTTATATATACTATGGCTTTTATATATACTATACTATGGCTTTTATATATACTATACTATGACCTTTATATATAGTATACTATGGCTTTCATATATACTATACTATGACCTTTATATATAGTATACTATGGCTTTTATATATACTATACTATGACCTTTATATATAGTATACTAGGGATTTTTTGATCTATTACAGTATGAATTTTTGACAAATGTTTATTTTACATACTATACTGTGACCGATATTGAAATACTATAATAATTTTTACTACTTTACTGACTTTTTATATATTTCTTTAACACCATACTATGACTTTTTCACCATTCTACTGTGACTTTTTATAACTATTATTAAACAAATTTATCGTAATGCTAAATATGTCTGGCTAGCTGTGTAAATATCTAATGTTAGCAAAAGAACATTAGATACAACCCAAACTGCTTTCCTACATGCAATCAATGTTCACGACACTTCCAAACGAGGTTGGGGGTGAAGTGAACATGCCATGACAATTTTAACATCATCATCTTGTTACATTCACTTCTACCTCAGTGGTTAAATAGCACCCAACTGGAGAATTAGCGCCACCAGCTGTTTGATGAGCCAACACCTAATACTAACATTGCTTTAATTCACATTTTCTTTGTCCATTGTTCAGAATATTGGATACAATTTGTGCTAAATTTTGATTGAAACCTGGCTGGTGTCATTATTGATACTTCCACCTGACGGCATCAAAGTAAGAAGTCATTTGATTCTTGGCTGATAAAGGTGCCAAAGTAACAGGTATGTTGGTTTTTATTAAAATATAACTGTTCATAGCCACACAATCACATAAACACCAAACATTTGTCACATATTTGATTCCACACACATCTTTGTGCACACATCGGACATAACAGTGGAAGCTCAGGTGACAGTGAACACAGCAGGATTACAAAATGAAGGTATTTTTAAAGCCCCTAAACTCATCATGTGGCAGTGTCAACATTGAAGTACAGTACCATTTGTTGCTAACAGACAGCAAAAGAGAAAATACTCTTGCAACATTTAAATTAAGCTATTACGTCATGTCTACATAGTTGTAGATGAGGAGATTAGACAGAGTTGACATTAACTTTGTTGTTTTCGAAGGCAACCTTAGACTACTATCAAAGGAAAAGGTGCACGTTTACAATCAGTTATTTTGCCATCACTCTGTCACACAATTTTTCAAGGTAATAGTTTGACATTTTGTGAAATAAGCTTTTCGTCCGCCTCGCCAAGAGTTAGACGAGAAGATTGATACCAACCCAACGACTCGGCTTGCTATCAATATTCTCATTTAAGTCTTGGCAGTAAGTGAAAAAAATATATTTTCCAAAACATTGAACTTTTTCTTTAAATTACCATTCTCATTACCAACCTAAATGAAGTCGTTATCAAAAATGTACATGTATCTATACATTAAATGAACCAATAAGTCTAGAATGTTTCACTGGTCATACTGTAACTAATTAGGACAAACATCAGAAGTGAGATAACACAATAAATAATGATTCAAGTGAACACAGTTAAAGATATATCATCCAGCCCCACTGATTCAGACACACTCGTGCTGGTACAACACAACCTTAGCTGTGGTCTAAGTCTCACAGTATCACAGGTAACACATTCAGTGATATTAACTGTGATTCAAATAGTACATATCTTTATTTCATAACTTCCTAGTGTAGAAAGTACTGTGTAAAGCCCTACTAAGACTGAAATAGATTCATTTTGGACAACACAGGCTGTTGTAGAAATGCCTCAGATTTCAACGTTAATGCGGTTTGTCTCTAGAATTAGGTTTTACTAGCGAACGCTAAAAGCAGAATTGTTTCATGTGACGTAATGAGTGCATTTACACATACATTTTGAGAAATCCTGTTTTGAGATTAAGCTTGTATACACATCAAGAAATGAGAGATGCCCAGTCTACTTCAGAATATGATCTCTTAATACTCTGGTAGTTTCTTATTCATACTTATTGTAATCTTTTGTGTTCATGTACGATGAAACAATGCACAATTGGGAAATCAAGACACTTAAAAATGACTTTAAATGACAGTTCAGAAAATCGGTCTCAATTTGAACAACAACTCTGAGCGCATCCCAGGGCTTTATGAATTTGCTTCATAAACGTACAGTAAGAAGAAGTAAGAGACTGGAGACTGGGGGGAAAAACAAAGGTGAATTCTGAATTCCCAACCCAGTGGTCTCATTTGTGTGAATGACGCAAGGGGAACATTGGCTTTGCCATCTGTCTGAACACATCTTTGAGACCAACGTGTTCATGTGTATGCATTCACTGCTCTAATGATGAGGTTTTATGGTTTCTGATGATTTCATAATGAACAGTAAGGCGTTGTGGACCTTCCATTTAAAAGGACGTTATATCAAGTAGTGAGGGATTCCCTGCGGCTACATGGGCTGTCGGGTAAAAACAATGTAGAAATCGTCTGCATTCATTGTTTTTGTTTTATACATTGAATGGCAGCTCAAGATCTGGACTATTGAGACTGTTACACTAATAGTGAGCGGTGTGGACACGTGTTCAGGGCTTCACAGTGCTTTGGAACATGATAGTTTGGACCTTTGAACAATTTCTGGTATGATGTAGAATCTCATTGCTTATAATTATTAGTGCATAATGACTACATTTATGGTCAAAATTTAGTTAGAATCTGTTTGTGACTTCCAGGAAATTTGTATAATTATATGAAAAATTGTTTGCCATACAAATGTGTAATTTTAGTGAAAACTACTTTTTAATGAGAAATGACAAAACGGACCTAAAAAGAAAGCTGTGTAGTTATCGCATTGTGCTTTGAGTCCGCATCAGGTTTGGTAATCTGTAATCTGTAGGACTCGTCACCGCACTCACTATATTCTATAAACTATGAACTGTAAGAAATAAGCAAAGTTAGTTACTTTTCCTAAACAAACTAGTTAAAATGGATAAGAAAGCTGAGAGAAAACATTTTGTTGGTAGATGCTGTACAACAGCTCCTTGAAGATAATCCAATGGCAGAGTGCAGTATCTGCACTTTTTTCAGGTTTATGCTCTTTTGGGGGTATAAAATAATCAGCCTGAAAAGTCATAACATTAAAGCATTATCACAACCTCTATTTCAGGAGTTAGAACAGTTTGCCTTCCAGCCTGAGAACTTTGAACCCCTTTTCCTTAACTTCACTGCAGTACTGTTTGCAAGTGCCACATTTATTACATTCCATGTCTGTATGTGCAAAGAAAAGCAATATATTGATTACATGTTAGACGTTCTGGAGACCGTATTTGTGATGCATCATAGGGATTTTAGTCAGAGTTGTGTTTTTTTTATCAGGGCAAATATGTCCTCTCATCTGTTTTGCATTTTGGTGACTTGCATTGCAATTGAATTGGAAGAAGTGCAGAGGATGAAACAGCTGTCAATGCTTGGTTGGTGGTGGTTGTAGAACTGCAAAGTGATTTTTACATGAACAGATCCAACTCCAAACCTTTCAAGAAAAAGCTCCACATTTTGTGAAATGTGCTTATTCACCCTCTTGTTGAGAGTTAGATGAAACGATTGACACCGATGTATGTGTTAAAAGTATGATATAAAACCGACAGCCAGCAGCCGGCTAACTTAGCTTAGCATTATGAGTGGAAACGGGGGAGACCATTTTGTCATGTCAGAATCTGTCTCTAAAGCTCTCTAATTGACATGTTACATCTTGTTTGTTTACTAACTAAATCTGTCCCATTTGGACAAACTGTCCATCTATAAAAACTCCAGTAAGCGTATTACATTCGTCAACCTCCACAACCTCTAGCATTAATGCCCAGCCAAACGTGGATCCAATCTATGCACATTCAAACAGATGGCCGCTAACGGACCAGTGGCTCAGTCTTCCTGCTATGACGTGAAGCTGCTAAAAATTCCTGTGATGAAGCCGAAGAGATAATGTCGTGAGCACAGAGCCACCAAACTCATATTTAGTGAAAACTAAAAGACAGATAAAGAGGAATGATTGAATAATAAAAATGTTCAATTCATTGACGGACAGAGAACTATAACTTCTACATACTTTAGAGTCTTTTGCCCTCAAATGAAAGAATGAGGTTGGCTGGGCATGTGTTCCTTCGCCCAGATGAATGGGTGTAAATTAGTGGGTGTCACCTTTGCCGCCGCTCCGTCATTGTAAAGGTTTGATTTTATGACCAAGAACAGATTCCTCGGTGTGAACTGGCCCAGTGATAACCATCAGAAAATGCTTTATTGTCCAATCAAAAGCATCTCCGTGTGATCGTAACAAAATTGGTGCAACGAGAAAAGTGGCTGGCTGAGAGTTCAGGGTAAAGGGGGAACATTCAGAGACCCAGGCTCTGAACCAGCGAGACGGAGCGGAAGCAAAGGGCCAGAAAGCCCGTGCCCAGCAGGTCCCCCAGGGCGGTCAGGTAGGGGATGGAGAAGTTGTCAGGGTCCAGGCTCCGTCTCCACATCATACGGATGATGAGGTCGGCAAAGTAAAGGAGGATGGCCACCTATTGGGAGAAGAAAACTGAGCTGAGAAGTCCGCGATTAGAGGAAAACAACAAGAAATGGATAGAAAGGCGGCAACCTCTGCTGAAGAGTGAAGCCCCTGCAGAAGAGCCGAAACTTGCATTCTTTCTAATGGCCAGCAGGGGGCAGTTCCTTTGGTTGCAAAGATAAGTCAGGTTGTATAGAAGTCTATGATAAAATGACTCCACTTCTCTCTTGATTTATTACCTCAGTAAACATTGTAAACATGACTTTATGGTCTCAATCTCTAGTTTCAAGTCTTCTTCAATACAGCATGATGTTCATTTAGTAAATGATGGTCCATTTAGAGTCAAACAGACCATAAAGCAGGGTATGCTACCTTGTGATTGACAGGTCGGCACACCGGCATTTGGGATTTGGCTGTGTTTACTTTAACCCTTTCACGGTGTGTTTTCACTTCTGTTCTGGTTGCAAAATGGCAAAACCGTAGTCCACAAATGTCAGGGTGACAGTGTCCACTTTACAGTCTTCGGATAAAATCCCCAGCATTTTAAATAAAACACACTTGACCAAACCGACCCTAAACAGTGTCAACAATTGCATTCCATGAAAAAATGATGTAACAATTAACCACTTCTGTATCATCAATGGTGTTAAATAAAATCCAGTTATCTCAATATGAGCTTCCTGTGTATCCTCAAAGCAGTGAAATCATTCGAGGTCTCAGTCGGCTGGAATCGGGCAGATATAAAACGTGAGATCTATTTGAACCTGCAGGAGATTATGGAGATTGCCAGACAATTGACGTCTTAATTTTGTGCAATTACACTGACAACACGGACAAATACTGCGGGTAAATGAGAGTCGTGTAAAACTTCAGTGCCATTGGCAGGGATCTAAAAATACAATATTTCTTTCTTTCTATTTGTTGTGGGGGGGTCATGACAGCGTCTCACAAAATGTGAGTGTGAACCTACGGCGGTTTACCTGAAGCAGAGCAGCACTCAGGTAGCAGGCGGTGAAGGCGACAGAGATAGGCGCCTCATCTCCCTGCAGCAGATAGATGGCGTAGAGGAAGACCAGCTGACCGGGGACAACCAGCATCAGGAGCACCCGCGCAGACTTGGAGTTCACCCCTGGTGGACACAGGGGAGTGAGTACTTCACAGGCAGCGGTACTTTATTTTAATGCTATGATCCCTCGCTGTGTACTCAGTCCTGTCCTGCTGTGTTCCGGCGTTCAAATAAGGAGCCGGCCCAGCACCTATTGTACGAGCTCCTCAGGATATTCTACTGTGGGTTAAGTTCATTCAGAAACGACACTGACTCCAGAAAAAGGTCTCTCTGGTTATCAAAAATGATATTCAATGTTCTTTACTCCCCAGACTCCAACAGAAGAATTCTATCTTCAACGGATGATTACACCGTGATACTGAAAATAAATGTGTTCTCCAGACGAACTAATATGATATAATCAGAGATAATAACAGTAAATCTGCATTATGTTTGGTGACTTGTAGGAAGCGGAACAAGCTGAAATCACAACATCTGTCATATCATCAACTTGTAAAGTTGTTTTTGCAAATGTGTTAGCAAACAGATTTACTCATCCAGCTGACTCAGATCAACATTAGCATTTATTGGTCTCTTTTGAGTTTGAGTTTGAGTTTTTCGAATTAAATGACACGCATGTGAACTGCGGATTAATTACAGAGCTTAACAATCATCGTGTGTAATAAAGTTATCGGCCAATATTCAGTAAAAATATGCGATTGGGAGATCAGCATTAATGACTGTAATGACCATCCCTGATAATGCTACATAGTGAACAACTAGTCTGAGCTAACGTTGGCAGCACTGCAGCTAACAGCTTCATGCATTCATGCTCCATTCAGTAAAGAGGTGATACTTTCACATCAACATAAAGTAGATATTAGAGATGAATTATGAGCTGTTTAACTTCCTCACACTAGCTCTAAACAGCTGATAACACATCATTAAAACTACTAATGTACATTTTTTTTGTATTGTTTTTGCAAATAACTATGAAATGCCTATAAGAAGGTCTTGTATACCAGCATGTATAAAAAAAACTAAACAACAATATGGCTCATCGACAATAAGCAATCGTTTATTTATTTTGATCCATTTCACCCATGTTCATTCTGTTAATATTACAAATATTAACAGAATGAACATAATATTACAAATGTCAGCATCTAACCCTGCTATGTACACAGAAGCCAATGTGTGCATTCAGCCTGGCCGAGTTACCTGAGGAGAAGAAGGTGATGCAGGGATTGGGCCAGTGCTGCCTCATCTTGTAGGGCAGCACCCCTGGGATGCTCCAGGAGTGCAGGTAGGTTGAGATCCTGCTGGCCTGGATGGCCACCAAGTTACCACCCACTCCTACACAGGGGACAGAGAGACAAGAGGACAGAGCGACTGAGCCAATATATGAATTAAGGGGCAACCACTTTCATTTCATGTCTGATCCGGTTGACAAGTCATTTGCAGATTTTTAAATGCGACGTTCTTTAAGGCAACAACAACAAAGAAAAGGCTCCCCGGGGTTAAACATGACGGATGCGAGTTTAGATTTGATCCTTTCATTCTGGTGCGATTCAAGCCTTTTCATTCGCTTCTCAAAAGCCACATTTCCTCTGAATACAAAAGAACATTTCAAAATCCATTTGACTTTGCTGTTGACAGGGCATCTGTGCCTAATAGTTACACTAAACACATTTTCAAGTATTTACCCCAAAAAAAAACAGCACAGATTGTTGATGAATTGGAAAGGGCTCGGGGGAACGTTTTGTAAAAAAAAAGTGTGGGAAAATGGGAAATTCAAACCAGATTGTCAAATTTATTATTTAGCGGCGCAAAGAGAGAGAAAGAGAGGAAGATTGAGAAAACAGTGGAGAGATGGGAAGAGACAAAATGAGACAGAAATCTGAGTGCTCATCGAAGGCCCCGTCAGCTGTGCCAGGACACTTGACCATTAATGGTTCATATCGACGACTCAGTGGATCCCTGCATGCATCACCTCACAGCCCGACCACTTATTCTCAAGGCAGTTTCTTTCTTCTTCATCATTCTAAAACAGCATTATAGGGGTGAACATCGAATTTAGTTTTCTCTCCTCTTTCTCCTTTCACATTGCCCGGTGACCAACACTGATGAGTTGATTCTCAGTGAAGTCGTCGTGCTCTTCACAACTTCTTCACGTTCTTCCATGGTTTCATACATCACACGCAAAATGATCCATTCAGTTATCAAAATCTGTCAGACATACGTGTATATTCATAACATGGTGGTGCATACTGTGAGGAGGTACAATTTGGTTGTTTACTGAACTACTGCTGCAATTTTTCCTTTTGTGTCAAATGCTCTGTTCACTGTATCGTACTTTAAGTGAAAGGTTTAGGGTGACTATTCCGTTTACAGCACATGTAACACACGGCTACACAAATAGATTTACTGTATACATACATGTGTGCGGATCCTTTTTCTGTGTACTGCAGTATTGCCTTTTCCCAGTAAACTTTGACCTACTGTTGAAATTGGAATCTAAAAAGCTCGGTGCCATAGACAATAGCACTCAGACTGTATCCAGGAAGCAGAACAGAACAGAGTAACATTTCCAGGGTATATTATAACCGGTACGGTTAACACGTTTTCATTTTGGTGCCGTTGGCCAATTTACTGACACAATTACAAGGTGTTGGAGCTCGACTGACATGTTTTGGGAGTGTTACTACCTTCTGCAGACGTGCAGCGGAGTTGGGAAGTTCCATCAAACAGTTGTGACAGTTGCACTTACAGTTTAGAGAATGTTAAGACTGTTTCAACAAAATGAGCCAAAGCCATTAAGAGAAACTGTGACCTGCTTGCTACTCTTTACCTGTTATTTTCCTTTATGTAAATATTTTGTAAATAGTGATAAAAGAGTTGTATTTAGATTTTTCTTGTGTATTAAAAAAACAAAAACACATTCACTGTTTTTGTTTTTAGTTAAATATAATGCCAATATCAATGCAATTATGATGGCTTCTCTCCTCGTGTTCGTTACACACCTTCTATGCATTGCCGTTTAAACATCTGTGCAATGGCGGTTTCTAAACTGTCACTGCAGACAACAACCAATAAAATGGCTGAAATGATGTCTGTGGCGTCATTTAGCTTTTTAAGGGCTTACCGTTGATGACGGGCGTGAAGACAGCCATGCCCTTAAAATTGGGATCGCTCACCGTCCTGTCCAGTATAAGGCCTCCGAAACTGGGAAGCACAAACACAGAGGGGAATCAGACCCACATGCAGTCACTGCCAGCGGGTTGTTTCCAGCCTGATGTCAGAATGGAAGAAAGATGATCTTGTTTTCAGCTATCTAGTTAGCAGTTCATAGGGCTGATATATTCTCTCACTGAACATCTACTACAACCTGCTCAGATCAACCTGCATACATCATTTAAATTAGACTGTATCTAATTACACACGTAGTTATTTATTAACTCCTCTGTTCAAATGTGAAGTTCACTGTACACACAAGTTACAAATTGTGCTAAATATGATGATGTATGAATAAATAGTGAACTAAAATAACTTAATGTAAATACCTGCTAATGGACATGGCTACTATAACAGGCTGCCACCCCGAGCGGAGAACCTCCCTGATCTGAGGGCTCCGTCGGGCCACCACCACCCACAGCGGGATCAGAGCCAGGAAGACCAGACAAACCAGGGGGGACAGGTACCAAATATCTGTGGGACAGGGACAGACACCCTCTTACTTACTTATATTGACAGGCAGAAAAAAATAAATAATAATAAAAAAAAAACAGCTTTTACTTTCAGAGAGGCCATGAATTATGGAATTATTATTAGCACTACCATCAATGGTTGACACTTAACACACAGTAGTAGACAGCACAGTATTGGTACTGCCTCCGTCATTGTCAAAATGTTGCTTCTCATTGGACATAATATCGATAATAATTTTCATTCATTTAACGGGACAAAATGTAAAAATCCCGATGTGAGTGAACACACCGGAGTGGCACAGACAAGTGTGACACAGAGTCACACATCAGATCTCCCATCATGCCTCAGTGTCCCTGTATCTCCTCACCCTTATATTCGTAGAGTGTGCTGCTGACCCCGGCCAGCAGGGACAGGGTGATCAAATCGCCCAGGCTGGCAGCGATGGGCGTGGCCACGTTGTCGGGGTTGATGCCCACCTTCCTGGAGCCGATGATCACTCCGATCATCACCAGGCCTACGGTGGGGAGAGGGGGGGGGTGGACCAGGGACGAGGTTGAGAGTGAAGACAGACAGAAAGAGGAGAGACAGAGGGGTGAAAGGACAGAAACAGAAAACCAGATGATGGATTAAAAAAAAGAAGAAAATAAACTGTCATCGCGTTCAACCGAGGCGGCACTAAATACCTCAGTGAGTTCTGAGCGAGAGCTTATTATCAGGGTTACAAGACGAGAAAAAAGCTTTCGGCCTAAACATTGATACAGACATCTTTCAGAGAATCAAGCAGCCTCACGCTATGACTGCTTTCTGGAGAAGAGAAACCTTTAGACTAGCTGTAAAATAAGAACAAGCACTGGTTCATAGAGAAATATTAAAAATGACAGAGTGAGGAGAGGAACACAGGAAAGAGGTGACTGAGACATGACTCAAGCTTCCGCTAAACACCATAACATTTCATGTGAGGATGAATTATGGATTATGCAGTGATTACAGGAGGGGAGGTCGTGATACAGGGATAGATGCACATGCTGCTCTGTGAATGTGCTGAACTGGACTCACTGATGGTGTTTAACATTGGGAGTAAAAACAGAAGCTACATGTTACTTTTACGTACTATGGAACGAATGGTTCCACATTTTAGAGAAATACTTTTATTCGCTCTGTGGCTGAGAAAAACTGACCAAATTCTGACTTTTAAACAAAAAAGGTCCAAAGTGACATTTCTTACTCACTTGACTTCTCTTTGCATTTATGACTATTAGCAACAGTTTGACAGTATTATTTGATGACGATCATTTTATTTCAAATCACAACGATGATCTAATATCTAATATTTTGGTGTTCTAATAAACCTTCTGTGTGATGTTTTCATTACGCGCCGTGCAGAATTTTGAGACCAAATTCAGGAGAGTTAAACGTGTTGCCAATTGAAACTTAGAAGTGAAAATTGAGCCAAAACAATTGGAAAATACTGTAATGGATTTATACAATTTGTGTAGCAAAACAGTAAAAGCCTTCCTTGTCGCTTACCTAAGGAAAGAGCAGCGACGAAGGCTGTGGTGATGCTGCTGGCACAGAGGACAGCTGCCTGGTCCAGTTCTATCCCCCCTCTGGAAAACGAGCCCAAACACACGGCTGCCACGGCCGCGAGGAAACCCACCACAGTCGCCTGGACCTGCAGAAAACCACGACAACAAACGTGACATTTACGGAGGGCTGCAACCAACAGTTATCTTCATCACTGGTTGATCTGCCGATTGTCTCCTTGATTAAACATTTCATCATTTGGTCTGCACAACATCAGAGGTTAGACCACAGGGAACCACACGGACCTAAACAAAGCATCTTTGACTAAACTGGTCAACATGTGAGTATCCAGGAAGTTGTTACCTGTATCAGTGCCAGATTGCTGCACACCATGGTCCATTGTTTATCGGGGTCGTCCATTTGTCCTGTGTTGGCCTACAAACAAAGACAGATAGCACCACTTCAATGAGAAAGTGGGGAAAAGGACATTTAAATCGTAGAAAGCTACCTGATGGTTTGACCGCTGAACTGACTTCTAGCGATGTCACCGTGTTCCCAGATACGATGACATCGCAATAAGTTGGTCTATAAAATGTTAGAACTTATGGGAAAGACCTTCCAAAAACAGTGAAAATGAATTTGTAAACAACTGCAAAAGTACCTACTGAACTACTGAAGCAGGATCTCAATATCATTCTGAATAATTCAACACATTGCATTATCATGCCTACTTGTAAGGAGCATTGGAAACATTGTAAAGTTAAAGCAGGCTACTCCAACACAAAGCTAAATAACTGGTAGAGCTGGGAAACAAACATACCACATTAGCATCATGTGATACCAAATTAACAGATACATTTCTGTAAGTATGACTTGGTCCTGAATCAGTTGTGCATGATTAATTGTATGTAGGCTGGTAACATTAAATCGTAGGGAGTGGCAACAGTGAGGACCGTAAAAGTATTTAACACCCAGCCCGTCTTACCGCGGTGGAGAGGCGAGCAGCCAGCGTCATCTCCAGGTTTCCTTTGAGTCCAACCAGCGCAGGCACCAGGATGAACACCTCTGTTATCACCTTAAACACCTTCCAGTGCTGGAACACACACACACACACACACACACACACACACACACACACACATACAATTATTAGCATTGCACACAAATATAAATTCATACTAAATTACAACTCTTTCAGCTCGAAAACTAGAATCACCACCGTTTGCATCACGTTGCAGTTTACATCCACGTCTGTCCAAGCTGTCATCACTGTTATCTGAGTAAACATTTGTGAGAAACTGTCATAATAAGCGTATGAATTCTTGAGCAATGGCCTAAAATTGTGTTTTGTGAGGTCACAGTGACCTCGGACCACCAAAATCAGTATCGAATCAGTTCATCCCTGAGTTCAAGAGGACGTTTGTGCCAAATTTGAAGTAAATCACTCAAGTTATTCTTTAGATATCGCGTTCACGAGGATGGGATGGATATGAGGTCCCAGTGACCTGAATCTCATCCCCATCAGCTATCGGTCTCACAACGATAAGCCTCTGGGGGCAAGGGGTCGTAGTTCTGGGGTTCCTAGGTATAGCCAGCTGATATCTGGGCTAAGACTTCCTTTTCAGTGCGTTGCTCGTTATTTACAGGCTATTAGCAACTTGAGATGCCAGAGTGGAGTTGTGGTTGAGAGACCACATGTACAACTAGACTGTTTCACAAGTAGCCAGTTTACAATTGATTTTTAAAATCAATAAAAAGCTAACTCATCATCAGACGATAGCCGGTGGGATCCGCGATTGCGTTTTGGCCTCTTTTGCTCTCAACACAAGCTGTTTACTTGCATTCAACCAAAGCCTGCTCAAACATGATTGGTCAATACTACTTGGACTACAAACGGAAACCAGAATACTTCCGATGCCAAAATATTGTCCCGTTGTGTATGAATGCAGAATCTGTTTATAGAGATTACAGGTGATATTACAGATTAGGTGGGCGCTTGTGGCAAATTTGAAGAAATTCCAGATGAAATGTACGTACGGACCAGGCGGTAACCTCCTGTTCTACCGTGTGAAGCTGATGTGAAAGTGTCTTAAAACTTGCATTCTCTCTACTGACCAGGAGGGGGCGACTCCTCTGGTTGTATAGAAGTCTATGAGAAAATGACTCTACTTCTCTCTTGATTTATTACCTCAGTAAACATTGTAAACATGAGTTTATGGTCTCAATCTCTAGTTTCAAGTCTTCTTCAATACAGCATGATATTCATTTAGTAAATTATGGTCCATTTAGAGTCAAACAGACCATAAAGCAGAGTATGCTTTAGGGCGGGGCTTACTGTGATTGACAGGTCGCTGCCAGAAACATATACGGTGTCTCTACGTCACTCCTCCGCATTCCAAATATGGACACATCTGTTCATTGGTTGCAAAAAAAACATGGTGACGGCCACGCTATCTCCGACATGGAGGCATAAACAGCATCTCCACCTCCATAAATGGACCCTCTGAACCTTGTCCCTTACTGATGCAGTTAAATAAGCACATCACATATTCTAGACTAACCCAGTAGGCTACTCTTCCTGTTTCCACATCTCTGAGCATCACCTGATGCTGTACTGCAGAGGTTCAGTGGGTTTAGAAGAAGAACAGTACATAAAGTCTGCCTCCTATTTTCTCACTACAACTCCAGTTGGCAGGTCCAAGATGGTTTAGATCCCTAAATAGATGCACATTTAAAAGAACAGCAGAGCTGCCAAGAGCAGAGTGATGTGGAGCAGAGGCAGGGAGGAAGGGGGCTAGGGAATTAAAGATGAGAGGAGGAACTGACAGAGTAGGCCGGAAATAGAGGAAGGAAGGAGGGAAAGAGAAGGAAAGAGTGTCAGATAAGAAGGTTTGTTATAAAAAAAAAGCATTTCTCAAAGGGTAAAATGTCCTGGAAGCACAAATATGATCAGTTAAACTGAATCGAAATGGGTGTAATGAAGGAAGGAACTATTTAGCTGAAAACACAGCGGCCTGCAGCGAAAAGTTGAAAGCAAATATATTTTTGGAGAAACGAAACTCGACGTCAAGCATCACTGTGACCTCACAAAACAGAGAATTCATATGCTAATTATGACAAATTTACACAGATGCCTCATAGGAAATATGTTTGGCAGAAGCATGCATCCATGAGCCGATAACTGAATTTTTAATAATATTTCCCAAGAGCCTGAGATCACCATGGGTTTAAGATCAGCAGCATTACAGCTTTTCCATGCTCAAGTCTAGTGGCTGCGGCTAGCTTAGTGCTTTAAGACGATGTGTCACCATCAGTGCAGAGCTAATACATTTTAAAGGGAGCTGTAGTGTTTAGTATGCGGACAAATGTATCGTTATTTTAGCTTTGTCGCGGTTAACACGGGGGGTGGCGTTAGGCTACACAGCTGCCACAGAGCGCAGCAGAATGATAAAGGGCGAGGGTACAGCTCTCTCAATATGGTAGCCAAGACACGAATGCCATGTTCAAGAAATAAGTGAAAAAAATATGAATTTAGTGAACGTTGTTTGTATTCTTTTAATATTTTGACTTAAGCTCCTCCTCAACCGGGTATCTATTGTGCCCTTGTGCTTTAGCTCCACCCACCAACATTCAACACGACCAATGAGATCGTTCCTGCTTCCTGAATTGTTAATATAGCAGCAACTAGGGAGGGGAGGACGTGATGAGGTTTAAGGGGGTTAAACAAGGCCATGAGAAAGAACATGAGGGATGATGAAGAGCATAGTGAACGTCGAAGTTTGCTTTTGTGTGTGTGTGTGTCTATTTATACACATTGTTCTCAGGTTCTGGACTGATCGGTCTAGCTGACGGCTGTCGTGTGGGGTGGCTATCTTGGGACGTGGCCCACTTCTGCTGCAATTCTACTGCTGCTGTTTGAGTGTGATGGGCAAAAAGCCAAGCGAAATATTAACACCACGCTAGTCTAGATTACTCAGGGGAAACCGTGTTGTCGTTATTGTTAATATAGTTATGTATTATTCCGAAATTATTGTGCATAAGTGCATGTGCACTTAGTTAGGTTACAAACAAGCTATATTTTAGGCTAACACAAATGTAAGAAATGTTGTAAACAGTGTGGCTTTCTTTGACACAGATAAATGCAGATGTTCTTCTATGTGATTGCAAGATATCAAAGTGTCTATTTCTCCCTCTGGCCTCTGTTCTTTCATCCTCCAACCACTTATTAAATGAACCAGTCACTTTCATCCCAAGGCTCTCCTCTCCCCACATCTAAACCTCTCTGGTACACACTACTAGGCAGCAGGTAAAGTCGATCTCCGCCTTTCACTCTACTGTCTATCCATTCTTGCAACATCATTCAACTATCTACAACTGTCCGTATACAGTATGTGCACAGCCACCCATCTCTCCACATTATCTATTCATCCATAACACTACGATAACCTGTTTGTCACCCCATCAAGCCATTCACCCATCCAACCACAGGGCTCGTACGGTCCAAATTTGTAGGTCTACTGTACTTGTGTTTCAGCTCAGTGACCTCGGAATTATGTCCGTATTGGATGTTGAGTGCCTGACGATTTACTTCCAATGCAACTTTCAGACCAAATGCCGAGTGCAGTGCTACCAATATGTAGGGGTGTGTAGGCGTCTAGCTAGTTTGACTTTCACGCAGGAGATGGGAATCAGGGCTCGTTACAGACCTGCAAGTAACATTTGACTTTTTAACCAACCGAGCCCGCCCAAACCTTAAGCAAGCGTGTTAGTGTCTTAGGCCTCACAATGCCTCAGCCATGACTAATTTGGCATAACCATGATCTTTCCCTTACCTAACATCATTTTGCCAGTATTTGCCATGTTGTATATTGTACAAAACGTTCGCATTGGACCTAAATAAAAAAAGAAAGTCACAAGATGTAAAATGGGTTTGCAAAATAGTCCAAGATCTACATTTTTGTCTGGCAAATTGAGGAGATTGACGTTTGTGACGGAATTTAAGATTCAACAACTATGGCTAGTTTTGTTTCGTAAAAAAAAATAGTATTTTGTAAAAAAGTATTTGTTTGTATTTGATAAAGTACTCTGTAGAAATCTCAGATGGTGCCCATCCCTATTCATCCATCTATTAATCTCTCAAAAACAATTCCACAAATGATTTTTCTTAGATTTTCATACTTGTATAAGGTCCATAACAATACCGGCGGAGACCAGTCCGAGCCCTGACACCAGGTACGGCACTATAACCTGGGCAGCAATCAGCCAGGAGCTCTCTGGTATGAATCCATGTTCTGACCGAGTCAACTTCCACGTCACGCCACGGAGCTTCTTGCCCTGGTAGCGTAGCTCCAGCTCCAGACGAGTCACCACCATGTTGAAGTTGGGGTTACTTGAGCACTTAGTTCAACGTGTAGTTATCCCATGGTATGTCTAAATGCCGTCCAAGTGGAAGGGAAAAAACTGCTTCTGATGTGTCCAAAGAAAAAACTTGGTTTGAGTTTCACCTTTCCAAACAAAGTGAGCAGGGTGAGTATTGAAGAAGAAAGCAATCAATGTGGTCGTCCTTGGTTTAAAGAGGGCTATAAACTGAATAAATAAAACAAACTGAGACACATGATTTGTGACTGCACGTTTGAGCCACTATTGAAGAATTAAAAAGAAATGACAAGCTGCTCTTCAATTTTCCTTGACAATGAACAAGTAAAACATGAACATATGAGTCCTCTTTACCTCTGAGGACAATTGGATACTAGGTAAGCAGCTACTGCCATGTCCTCAGATGTTCCGAAGTAAAACAAATGCAAGATTGTCACTTAATTTCCCATTTGTTTGATTGCTTATCTTTTTCCCCAGACACAGTCAACCTTAAAGGCTTTAATTCTAATGTGGGAGCAATGGAGCGTGACATCTTTGGCCCAGTGGTGAGTCAGCAGTGATGAGGTATCCATTTGTCAGCACCACCGCGGAACACAATCATCAACACCATTTCCTACTCATCGTCATCCGATGTTGGTCGACAAGCGCAGAAGCATCCACATCTGTAGTCAAAGTCTGTCTTTAACCAAACAGCCTTTTTAGGTAAAAGGTTAGTAAGATGGCTTCGACATCCACACAGGTTGACACAGAGGAATGAACCAGACAGTGGAGAGTTCAGTTTTTAGAAAGTCCAGGATCTCAGATCTACTCCAGAATCCATTTGATGTAGTTCAAAGCCTTTAGGAGTTTAGTGTTTGTTGGATCTAGTCCTCAATCTGTTTGATCCAGCCTGAAATCCGCTTGACCTCCAGCTTGAATGCTGTACCTCGAAAATTACGCTCGCGGTGACAGCTGAATGATTGACGGTGCAAGAAGACGAGGAAGAACAGTCCAAAAGGACCGGAGAGTTGGAAGCAGCGGGATTCCTTTGTGTCTCTATCAATCCAGCTCCTCTGTTGTGGCGGGCTCACAATGAGGGTGAGGAGGAAAACAAAGAAAAGAGCTCTGTGATGTCAATAAGAGATTCCAGGAGGTCCACTGAAGAGATGCAGCAGCCGGCTTCTTCTTCTGGCTGGAGTGCTGCTCTCCTCCGGTCGGCGTCAGGGCAGTCCTGCTCCCTCCGCTATGCTCTGCTGACGTAGCAGAGGAAGAGGCAGGGCTGTCTGCACTGCCCGACATGCAAACTCATGAGGGGAAACAACCGGCTTACACCCCCCCCCCACCTCTATTTCTTGCTGCGTGTCTGCCTCTCATCCTACCTCGCTCTCCCTCCATGTGACGTCCCTCTCCCCACGTCGGCCGGCCTCGCTGCGTTTCACCCTCTCTCTCTCTGTCTCTCTCTCTCCACATCGTGACTCATTCTTTCTCTCCGTCCGCTCCATCCATCTCCAGCTCGCCTCCACCCGGTATATTTGCATTGTGATTCTGTCATAAAGGTCCTGGTACTGGAGCTTTCTTTTACTTTAAAACAACATGTTAGACCAAACAAATACGTTCTTCTCTGTGTGACTAAGACATTGCTCCCCTGGACTATAATATTGTTTGTCATATCAATACCTAAAGAAGATTATCTTACACTATTTAACCCAGTCAATTTATATAACTGTCAGAGTATCTCATTAGCTTCAACTATGGATGCTTCATGTTTTCCTTCTCAGAATAACCAAGGTAGTCCTGCAATGTGACATTGCACTTTCACAAAGTCTGGAGACTCACAGGAGACAAAACGTTGGAGCCTACATTTCCCACAATGCAACTAAATAGCAAAGCGAGCCAACAAATGGACCGACCAGGGACCACTAAGACCGGTGTCGGCCCGCAGAGCGTAACAGTTTGGCAAAAAAATGATTCATCACATCATTCACATCATATAACGGCCCGGGCTTCTGGGAGGCGGACCAAGTATTGGCACGTGTAGCTTTAAAGCTACCACTATTCTAGTAACCCTATTCTATAGAAGGAGTGCATTATTTAGCTGCGGCGATGGTCAACATCTTAGTAGTTCAGGAACGAGCGATTTAAAGCCCCAACATCCATTTTAAGTCATGTTATGGAGGCGTTGTTGCATAATTGTGTAATGCAGCCCAAGCTTAGTAAAGCTGAGTGAGCCATGTCTCAGAAAGCAATGGCAAAATACAGAGGGTAAGAATTAAAAAAGCCCAGTAGCAGACATAGGATGTTCTGTGGGATATAAGTTAAAGCTATGACAACAGGAAGTGATTATTTAGACAAGATCCAAAACCATTACAGGCTACAGTAAGAATCCTAACTGCTGATAGTGAAGCGCTCTTTTCTTTATCTCCTTTTCCCACTCAGACAGGCGTCTCTCTTTGTCCTTCTATGTCCCCTGCGCTTCGAGAGACAGGACCCAGCCAAAACTCGTGACTAATTGTCCTCCCGTTGTATGCGGGAGGGAAACGGATACCGGGGAGGAAACACTGATAATCACTAGATGAAGCAAAGGGAATGAGCCGTGTGAGGATAAGATGTGTGTCTATCAGTGGAGGACAGAAAGAATAACTCAAGTAACTCATAACTTGGACAAATAAAAACCAAAGTGATGGCAGCTCATCATAAAGCAGATGAGCTTCATTTCCTCTCCATCTACTTGAAGTGGGAATGTGTCTCCTCTGCTGCTGACCTCTGCTGCTTGTGACAAACTTGCGCCTGCATTTTCGCTAATATGTGACCAATTTTACAAACAAACAAATAAAGCAGTAAACCAAGCATCCCAACGGGGAGGAAAGGTGACTTTTAACATGGTTGTTGGTGCCCGACGGGCTGGTTTGAGTATTTCAGAAAGTGCTGATCTACTGGGATTTTTCCCGCACAACCATACAGAGAAAACAAGAAAATATCCAGAGAGTGGCAGTTCTCTTCTTGATAGCAGCGACGAGTGGAGAATGGCCACACTGGTTTTGAGCTGAAAGGCAACATTAACTCAAACAACCACTCATAACAATAGAGGCATGAAGAAGAGCATCAATGAAAGCGTTGCGCCTTGAAGCAGATGGGCTACAGCAGCAGAAGACCACAACGGGTGCAACACAACTTGAAACTGAGGCTGCAAACGGCACAGGTTTTTCAAAATTGGACAATAGATAATTGGAAAAACGTTGCCTGCTCTTTGCGGATGATGCAAAGATTACAACAGCAGAAATTTACCAAAAAAATGGGCACATAATATCAATGAACTAGCAACTTATCAATGGCAGTAAAATACAACACACTAGAAGCCTCACTGCTGGTGGTTGGAAATTAATTCTAACATCAACTTTACAACAAGATATAAAAAATGTACTAAATATCCACACATCAAGCCGTCACCATTTCACCAGTTCACCGAATCAAAACCAGCCTCATGGCCGTGCACTCACTTGTACGTCGTCCAGCACCATGCCAGCCATCACCATGCCCATCCCGGCCAGCAGGTAGGGGAACACCACCTGAAGACAGATAGCAATGGACGACTCCTCCACTTTGGCGACGGACACTTTCGGCTTCTCCTCTGCCGGCTTTTTAAGAGGGGGCGCCGGGGGTAAGAAGAGGTCATCTTGGCCATCTACGCCGCCTCCTAGGGGGGCATTCGGACCCCCACCCGGGCTCTTCCCCTTGGAGCGGGACTTTTTGTTCTTTTTTCTCTGGCGGCTCTGTTGTTGTGATGGTTTATCCTCACCGGGCATGATGGCGGTGGTGGTTGTGACGAGTGGGGTGGTGTTGGCTTAATCTGTGGATACAGAATAAAATGGGTCAGGTGTTGCAAACCAACAAACAGCAAAAATGCTATATTTATATCCATAAATAGTATTGTCAGATTGTTCGAATGGTGTGTGGAAAGAAATACAACGTTTTACAGTTTTCCTTTAACCTCCAATGAGCTGGTATAACCTAGAATATTTGATTATTTCCTTTACCTGAAATAAGTTTAAACCTAATGGTGGTACTCTGTTTAGGAAGCTAGCATTAGCCTTCTATTGAAACCCTTTAGCTGTTGATACAGTGAAGCTGCAGCAGTCCACTGCACTGTTGTTTTATGATGAACGTTAGCTTCAGCTAAGTAGCTAAAAGGGTTGGTGCTCAGCTAGCTCTCTTTTCTTTCAATGTATTTTATCAACTGACTGGAGGTTGAAGGAAGAGTGAAAACAATATTTATTATTACCATTTAGATTCCATGTTAATTATTTACCTGCATTATTTAATGTTTTAGCCAATTCAGTTTTATCTTCAACTTGTCCGATTTTTCTGCCTGTTGTCGGTTACAGGGCTCCATATGTGAGAGGTCAAATATACAGAGTTCATATCAATCTTTATTTATTTTTTCAAATAATGAGATCATTTATCGTCCTGATTAATCATGTATTAGCCTGGTGACTGTCCAGCAGATCTATGTATCCTTTTCTATATTTCAATTAGAAATATCCAGGGGTATCTGGTTCTCAATATTCGTCGTCAGTTTCCCCACCAGTAGATCTAATAATCCCCTTGTCTACATTACTGCTTCATTGAATTATATTATTTAAAAATGTCTTTGACTCGGTTTTCACAACCCTGTGAAACTCTTAATACACACTGCCCGCTGAGTTCTATAAAGATAAGAAAGCTGTCCTTAGATACAAAACAAACTTATGCTCAGCTCTCAGAAACAGTGTTCAAATGCCTCACTCTTACAATCAGTAACACATAATAGTTTAGGATATATTAGGAACATTGGGCAACCTTTTATGTGGTTGTTTGAATTCCAACATCTCATGTCTACTTTATTGTGTGGGCTAAACACAAGCTCTGTGGTTCAGGGCAGAACATATGGAAACACTGGATCACCAGTTTGTTTAACGTACAATGTGTATTATTGACATAACACAGTGTTGATACATGAATATCCCAAGCGCTCATTTACACCATTTCAAATACTTAAATGCATGTTTTAGCTGTGAAGTCTAACAAGGACGAAACGACCGCTTCAGTTCTATGGAACGACTTCATTTGATATCTTTTTATTTCGCATGCTAAAGACGAGGAACCCCAACGGGTAACGTTCACTGAAAGCATCTGTCTGGCGTTACGTGATGGGTGTGTTGATGAATCACTCTGTCCATCTGAAACCACAGAGACCGGAATAACGGCTTAAAACGACACAAATAGTCTACAAACGTTTATACACAATGTCGACGACAGACTCCCGGAAATCCGGTGAAACGTCCAAATGTGTCCGCAGGTTCATTAGATCCGCGTCAGAACGTTCAAATGTCCGACAACATTCTCCTGTTGACTCCCATGCCTCCACTGCATGCTGCCATGTCGACATACCATAATATCGCAGCCCCGGTAACCGAGGTTATACAGCTGGACGCTTTCCGATTGGATAAGCACAAGGTGTAGCCCCGCCCCCCCCCTGGAGAAAGTGAGCAGCTGCAGACATTTGAAAATATTGTAAATAAATCCCAAATGTTACATGAAGTGTTGTTTTTAACATCATTGTTATTATTATTACTACTATTATTTAAATGTATTTATTAAGTATTTTTATTTTTGTCATTACTTAGTAAAACATAGATGGAGTTGTTTTAATCTGCCATGTCAGGAGTTAATAATTAATGAGACAAGGGGTCCAAACCTCAACCTTTCAAAGGCCCCCAAACCGGTCATAGGAATAACAGCAGGATATGTATTGTAGATTGTGTGAACTTTTAAAATAAGAAAGAAACATAATCAGAACATGTGAAAAACAATCGTTATGACAACAGTCCTCAGACCCCATCAGGGAAACCCTTGCGGGTCGATGGCATGTATGGCTAAAGCTTCCCTTCCCTGTGCACCCACGGCGGCTGCCATTCAAAAGAAAATCGGTGGCAGGCATTACCGACGGTGAAGACACATGCTCCGTCAACACTTTCGGGGTTAGAAAGTAGTTGTTGGGCTTCCAGCATCTGAATAAAGCCTGTAACACGCACAGCGGAGATAGGTTCCCGTGTCTGTATGGTCCTTACCTTTGTCTCCTTGTGAGGGTGAGCGCGTGTGCGCGGCCGAGGTGAACCCGCGAGCTCCCAAGAATAACTGCGCATATGCTCGCTATGCTGTGTATGTCTATATTAAGGCTATGTGCATGTTTCCGTTTGCTCCGGCATTTTTGAACATACGTCTGTGCGTTAAGATCAGTGTGTGTGTGTGTGTGTGTGTGTGTGTGTGTGTGTGCACTGTTAGAGCGCATGCAACATGGGGCGCCGTTTTAGGGCACCCTCTTGAATTTCATGGCATTAGCAGATAAGTGATACCCCCCACCCCACCCCCCTCCTGCCTCTTTCTATCTCTGGAAGACCGGTGACAGCAGCAGGCAGAGACAACACCTACACTTCTTTCATTCATGGAGAGAATATATTTCACTATACAATGTTTATTATCAACACATGTTGGTCTTTAAAACTAGTTACACTAATCTCATGTTCAGTATGCTCTCGTTATAAGGAGGAGATAACTAAAGTTAATGGTTAAAGTCAATTTTCATCCCAAATGACTTCTTTGGACACTTTCTGTTATCTGTCATCCACTAACGTGCACGTGCAACATAAAGAAGCGTGATCACTATTTTCTTGTAAGGCGACGCCCCTCTGTGCACACGCTGTGACATTTAACGGTTATGTCGCAGACATGTTAATACTGCAGCGGTCTGTGTCTAAATACAGTCCTCACTATGCTATTCACGCGGGTGACATAGTGAGAACGTCTCCGTTTGCTTCTACACTGAAAACATATCACACGTGCAGCAGCGCTATCTGCTGGCTGTAACTCATAACTGTACCAGTAATGTGTAGTGTTGTATCAGCTGTTGCACTTTAGTGATATATATGCCTCACTATCAGTGCACAATGAGATTCAAATATCATTTTCTATACCTTGGTGTATTATTGAGGGTGCATTGTCTGCTTTTAAAGTACCAGTGTGTAGGATTTAGGGGGACGTATGGGTGGTAAAATAATATGATATTCCTAACTATGTTTTCATTAATGTATAATTACCTGCAACTCAGAATCTTTGTGTTTTCGTTAGCTTAGCTTAACAAGTCAAAGCTAATTGGTCGTGCCGTTGCAACATCAGCGCACAGCCGCAGAGCTACGCCTCCGCCATTTTGGACGGAAGGCGACCGCGGTGTCATGAAAGGACGACAGTAAAACATCCGTCTTTAAAATGTCGTCCAAAAGTAAAACTAAACTATGTTTTACTCTATTGTCATAACTTTTATCCATCTCCAGAACAATAAATTATTATCAATGTGCATAACTATACTTTAACTATTTACTTATTTTTTTTCCCAAAGGAACATAAAGTGAGCACTGGACACAAATGAAAGCTATAAAAATAAAAATAAAAGATTTTAAGAACAATCTCAAATTTCTTTCAAGTCTAGGACCTCGAAAATAGACCACAGATCATGGATGTATAGAAGAGGTTGTGGCCTTGCTTTTGCCCTCTGTGTTAGTAAATTCTGTTCATGTTGTTCTACTAGCACTCCAAGCTACTTCTATAGTATTTAACAGACAAACCGAACATTGGCTCTAGAGAGTCTGTAGTGTTTTCACATGACCTCAAGGCCATCTTAGCTCTCTGACACGCTTGGACAGGAAAGAGTGAGCGGAGGGGTATTTTCAGTTGGATGCAATCTGGAACTTCACCACTAGATGCCACTCAATCCTACACACAGCTCTTTTAAGTATCTTACTTCTTTTCTGAGTCAATAAATCTGATGCATAGTTCCTCAAAGTGCGGTCCGCAGGCCAATAAGCAGCCGCAGAAACATTTTGTGCGGTCCCCAAACGTGATATGAAATGCGATGCATGTTCAATACTTTCAAAAGCCTGACTTTAATACTCGGCTTCTGTGTCAAACTGCATCCCCAGAAAAAACAGGTCCGTCAGGTTGGGAATGACAGCTTGTAGAAAGCTGGTGGTGGTGGTGTGGCAACAAGCAGCAATGCAAGTGCTGTTAGCTAAGAATGAGCGTTTTCATCGAAAAACTTGTCAGTTTAACATGGAAGATGGAAAAGCCCAACATTCCACATATCTTTTATTCATCTGCACTTCTATGAATCTTTACAATACGTACACTTTACTATCCATTATATATACATTACATGGTCACATTCATCATCGACTGTGCTTAAATGCACAATACCCTGTTTGTACTCATATATATATATATATATGTACGTATATATAGGTACTTTATTTATTTATTTTTAAATAAAGACATTTTGTTTATGTTTATATAGGTACTTTAAAAAAAGTATATATATATATTCTTATAAAAAAAGAACAAATTATGACGAGGATGTATTGATGAAATTGCTTTACATAATACAC